TACACATTTGTTTCTCTTGTTTGCTTGTTGGTAAAACTTGAAATCCTCAGGCATTTCCAGTCCTCGTAAGTGTGTGTGTGCTTGAAATGTGCTGTTGTTAAGTTACCTTGAAAAGGAATTAATCAGAATCCTTTTTACTAAGGAATAAATAACTTTTGTTTGACAGGGTTAGGAGAATATTGCAATACGCATGGCTACTCTCACAGTGGGTCAAAGAGCAAAGCTCACTGAGAAGAGGTCGGTCCCCACGCCTGTATGATAGGGGAGTGCTCTGGTCAGGGGTCAGATTGAATGCAAAGTTCAAAGATGATGCAGGATGTCGGATGCATGGTTTGGTCATTGATTAATAGAAGAAAAAGAAAGCATGTCCCATTTGATATTCATTTTCTGGAATGGCTTGTGCTGGTTTTGGCTGGGATAGAGTTAATTTTCTCCAGAGCAGCTTCTGTGGGACATTTTGGATTTGTGCTGACAAGAGTGCTGGGAACACAGGGATGCTTTCCTGCCCGCTGAGCAGTGCTTCCAGAGTCAAGGCCTCTTCTGTTTCTCCCATCGCCCTGCCAGCCAGGAGGCTGGGGGTGCACAAGAAATTGGGAGGGGACGCAGCCGGGACAGCTGACCCCAGCCCACCCAAAGGGATATCCCAGACCAGATGCCGTCGTGCTCGGCATCTAAAGCTGGGGGAAAAGAAGGAAGGGGGCACATTGGGAGTGATGACGCGGCATCTAAAGCTGGGGGAAAAGAAGGAAGGTGGCACATTGGGAGTGATGACATTTGCCTTCCCAAGTCCCCGTTACACGTGATGGAGCCCTTCTTTCCTGGAGATGGCTAAATGTCTGTCTGCCGATGGGAAGTGGTGAAGGAATTCCTTCTTTTACTTTGCTCGCAGCTTCTGCTGGACTTACTGAACTGTCTTATCTCAGCTCATGAGTTTTCTCAATTTTACTCTCCAGAGCCTCTCCCATACCCCTCTGGGGGAGAGTGAGCAAGCGAGTGGCCATGTGGTGCTTGGTTGCCAGCTGTGGTTAAGCCACGACTCGGCCAAAGTCAGTGCGGTGATGCCCCTACCACTGTCTGAGCTGTTGAGTGCTTGAGTTCGCTGTATGTCTTGGAAGATGCTTTTCAGCACCTTGTTCTCAGAAACCCTGGCTGAGCTGCTGCCCAGCTTAGCCAGTAGTGGCTCTGTATGAAATAAGTCTTCTGAAAAGTAAAGCATCAGAAAGTGACGTGACTATGATGGTCTTTAAGGTCCCTTCCAATCCAAACCATTCGATGATGGTAATTCTAGTTGTACACTATCTGTATAAATAATTTCATATTGATATTTTGCTGCAAAACCTTAGGGCGTGATTTCTTGGTTGTGCCATTTAGGTCTGTACCAAACAGGAAAAGCATAGTTCTTCAGTACTTTGCAGCATGACTCTAACTAGCAGCATACATATAGTTTATGCCTGTAAGAACCCAAACCTGCTGAAAAGAAGACTGGCCAGAGTCTACACCCGTCAGGTTTTTCTACAGACCAACATTTTTCTCAACACACTACAATGGGTAGATCCAAAGCTAAGATTTCTGCTGAACGTGAAAATTTTCAGCTAACTAGTTGTAGTTCGGTACTTGAGTACAGCTAGAAGATGTGAGGCAGCATCACTCCATGATGCAGCCTCTGAGGCATCACAGAGGTACTGTGGGGACCACGTTACTCTCAGAGTGTCACTGCCAGTTAAACGTGTGTATTGGTTAATTAGTCGCTGGTCATAGTGTTGTTTTGGTTGTTCACCTGGGTGTGTTACGTAAATGTTTACATGCTCTGTGTATTCACTGTGGTGCTGGTCATCAACAGCGGACACGGACACTGTGGGATGTGGGATGGCCCTCAGACTAAGAGGATTATATCTGCATGTACATATATATAAGACAGGAGCAGTGGTGGTAATATAATATATTGGAAAATATATGATCTGAGCATGACACAAATGGTATAGAATAAGGGGTGGATAATGTCTTGGGTTTGGCTGGGATAGAGTTAACCTTTCACAGGAGAAGTGGGAGGGGGCACAGCACAGGAAATTGAGTGGAATTAGTCACAGGGCTATTCAATACCATATGCATCATGCCCTGAGACTAGAAATTGAGGGAGCTAGTTGGGGGGGGGGGGGGGGTTCGCATAGACGCCGATCGCGAGGGGGCTCGGGCTTCCAGGTTCTGCGGTCAGCGTGGTGGGCATTTGTACTACTCCTTTTGTACTGCTCTCTTTCTATTAATATTATTGTTGGTTTTACTCTTTTCTCATTTTTTACGCTGTTCTATTAAATAGTCCTTATGCCAACCACATGTTTTACTCTGTTTCTTCCAGTTTTCTTCTCCCATCCCACAGAGGGAGAGGAGTGAGTGAGCAGCGGCATGGTTGCATAACTACCGGCTGGGCTAAACCACGACAACGTGACTGTCCATCAAACGTGGCAGATCACTCACTAAGGAAAATTTAGCATTGATTACGTTTTCTGAAATTCAAACATCAAGCACAATATATCATATCAATCAAGTTGGAAGTGATGAGCAAATGAGCAAAAAATCCAATAAAACATGATGTACACCACTTGCCAGTGCAAGGAGAAAAGAAGGTAGATACTGGCAATTGCTGCTAACTGGAACAAAAATATGTATCCTAAGTGTTTGTTTTACTCTTGCATCATCTCTATCTCAGGTTTAATATTTTGGTGCCTCTCTTGGTTTGTTGTGGTTTTTTTTCCCAAATAGAAGAGAGAGAATACATTAAAAAAATATATCACACTACCTTTACAAAAGTAATGACGTGCAAAAATCCTTGGGACGTAAGAGTCACATCCACCACGAATACAGTCACACACCAGACAGAATTATTCATTAGTATTAAAAGAACTGGCTAGCAAGCCTGGCTAAACCTGTGCCCTGTGTAAGGTAGGAATGGTACCTATAGCTATCATTCGAGGAGAAGAAAAGGCCTAGAGGAAGCTCTTCAAACTCTTTTCAAGCTGTTTGATTCCTGAGGTAATTTCTCCACTGCAGTATGCTGTATTTTAGAATAGCATGCCTGGGTAGAGGAAGAGTGTGGTCTGTCAGTTACAATAAGATTGTTCTTCTGTTGTGCATGAGAGTTCATTGTCGTTTAACTGACAAACCAGAAGATATGATGGGAGAACCTCCTCCTCCTTTGCATTCCTACCCTAGACATGTTTTTGGAAGTGCAGCTGATGCCCTTTTGACCTGATGAAAAGTAAAGTGTGAGAAGTTCTTTATATCTGCAGTATTCACAAACGCAGGCAAATTTCCCACCCCAGCAAGTCCAAGTTGCAGTAATCGGAAATATATTTTAGAAAGTAGGAAAATCTGGCTTGACAAAGGATGTCTTGCATCCTTTTGGAAATTGTACTTGACCATTTTTCCTCAGTGTCCTGTTCATGAATGATGAAGATTAATGTCCCCTAGCGTTTTGAGAACATTGAAAGTAAACACTTCCTATTTATTAAAAATAAACAAGTATCAATCTGCAAGGGATTCCATGGCAATGAGAGGGCCTCAACCATCACAACGTGTAATATTGACCTTAAGGCCAGAAATCTGGGCCAGGACTGTTCCAAGCGAAAAACCAGGATACAAAAGCCTACGCTCCTTAATAAGCTGCATAAGGGAAATGGTATAATTCGGGTATGTCTTTTACCTGCATTTAAATGGGTTTTCTCCCCTCCTTTTATATTGTCAGTTTGACATGAGTCTACTGTGAACCGAAGAAGATATGAAGAGACAGAAAATATCATCTCTTATCATCTATGTATTTCACATAGGTGCTACACTTTGGGGTAGGTTTTAGCTCTACTGTTTATGAAAAATACTAAAGATGACAATTATTACTCATTTATTAATAGAGGGGAAGGAATTAATTCTGATTTATTAATGGTAAAGAATTGATTTGGCACAACGTAAAACACTTCTGAAGCAGAAGATGACTGTTTGGAGGATGGCTGCCTGGATGGCCGTGGCCATTGAGCTCCTTCAGCACCCAAACTGTTACCTGCCCACTTTTCTGCCCCACGGCTCGGCTGATGGAGCGCGTCGTGTGACTGCTCAGCAGGCAGGAGTTGTCAGTTCGTACTGAAAATGGTTTGAAGTACTTTGGTTGAACTTGCATTGAGAAGGCTGAGGAAAAGTCATCTGGATTGCCCTGCCAGATGAGCTGGAGAGGGCATAAAAATTTCCCAGCAGCTGGACACTCTCTACCAGGCAGACCTCTAGCAGGTGTCTGAGCTTGGCCAAGAAGGTCCATACGACACAGCTAACTTAATGGAGTCAGTTTTTAAAAAGATGCATTTAAAATTATTGTTTTATGCCAGCAAGGCCTAAATTAAATGTTAACAGCAATCAGATGCTACAGTTTGCATGAATTAATTTGGAGGAATCAACCTTGATTACCTCTGGGGGCTGGGACAGAGCTCCCTGACACCTTCTGTGGTGGTGAAGCTGTTTCAAGAAGTTTCATCCTTCCTGTTGGTTGCACCATCCTGTCCTTTGTTTTCTGTTCTGGTATGACTGCTTGGCGCTCTGTGAGGTTGTTGGTAACCCAGGTCACTGCGGTGTGGGGCTATGAATGTTTGAGCGAGCAGCGAGCTGCAGCTCAAAAGGTTTCGAGGTTCAAGGTGGTGCTTTTGGAAGTGCGTTCGAAGCTCAGGTGCTAAGGTGGTGGTGTGCAGATTTGAATATGTAGGTGCTTCCTCAGGATATCTACTCAAACCGATTATAAATTCAAAGACGAGAGCTCTGCCTTATAATATTGATTAAACCAAATGAAGACCCTTGCTGTCCCAGGGACTCATCCTGCAGAAAAGCCATGAAAGAGCCATTGGCATGCTCGGTAGGAACGCGCTGCCTGCCAGAGCCAGAATAAGGTTTTTTGTCAGGGATAAGGGGAGGCAGAAATATGCTTGTAGTCTACATTTAACTTACTCATTTTTACTTACTGGCTTTAGGTTTTACAGAACAGGAGACAGTAACTGGGTTGTTTTCCAAGGATTGCATCCTCCCTTGTCCTTTCCCACCGGGGCATGATGAAGTAATTTACTGGAAGAAAGGAAACAAAAATGTGCACAGCTACTACTACCAGAGGGATCAGCTGGAAAAGCAAGACCCGGATTACAGAAACAGAACACAGCTTTTCCATGAGAACATTCCTAGTGGAAATGCCTCCTTGAAACTTACTAACTTGACTGTAACTGATGAGGGCTCTTATAATTGCTATGTGGGAACACAAGAAACTAAAACAGAAGAAGAAGTCACACTGCACATAAGAGGTCAGTAAAACATCAAAAGTGGTTGAATCACACTGGTGGAGATGGGATTACACCAACAGATTTTCTTGTGTTATTTCTCACATGGAATCTAAATCTCCCAACCCAACGGAGTCCCTTTTGCGCCTGATGGTATTATCAGGCAATTCATTTTCTCTCGTGAAACGCTGTAACATGAGTTGAAAAATTACAGTGCAGCATTTGTTCTCGTAACCTACTGCACCGCGGTTTCTAAAGGGTAACGAGTATACTTGCGTTTTAGAACATTACATGGCCTCTCAGAACAGAATAGACTCTGACATTGACTGTAAGTAGTGCTATGCTTTCTTCTGAAACCAAATAGATGAAATTTTGTTCCCAGTTAAGTTTATTCTCCCCAATATTATTTTGAAAGACCAATCCTGTCAAGTTAAAAAGGATTTTGAAACTAATAGGATTATTTATTTATTTTTTAATCTACAGTTTCCTCTTATTATGCACTGGAATACCAAAAGAGAGGCACAGAGAGGATGCTGAAGTGCCATGCCTTTCTCACTTATCCAGCACCACATATATCTTGGGTAAAAGGCGATACATCCATCCAAGAAACATATCAGGAGGAAACCAGGGATGGAGTTCTTTATTCTGTTAGAAGTGACCAGAGCATTACAAACACAACTGAACCTTACTACTGTCATATTCATCTCCCTCATGAAGAGTGGGTTGCTGAATGGAAGATGCAAGGTAGGAATGAATGGACGTCTCTTCCTACATTGTTACTGAATGTCACAACTGGTTTCAGAGCCAAACTGAATACAGTTTTTCTGCAGTGGAGCAACATGGATACAGGGTGGTGCCAAAGGTTGTCTCTCCCTCTTTGAAACTCATGTTACAATTACGATGCAGCACGTGTGCTGTAAGTAGGGATAATCACCCTTCTGTAAGTTAGCTTTGCTCTGAACATTTTTTCCGTATCAGTTTCACGTTTCGAGGGGTGCACAATAGTCAAACTTTGCCCTCTATCACGAAGAGAATGAACTTGGACAAAATACATGGAAACCTTAGTGAACCTGTGGGTTATAACATGAGGGAGGGGAAAGTTTGCCTGCGGCTCTAGATGTGTATGTGCCTTATTCAGTCCGTTCCCCATCTTTTGCCAGAGCTTTATCAGTACCGTTTGATCCGTTCTTTGTGCTTCTTCTCAAGTGCATGCTTAAGTACCTGGGTTGAGTGCTGGGGGTGCATGGCAGTGGAGAGCAGCAAGCACTGTTTACATTTGAGCAAACAGCAGCTCATTTGGTTAGTTAAGGGAAAACTGGGCTATGAAATGACAGCTCTCCGTTTTGTCCTGCAATCCCAAACTTTTACTGGAAATTCAGTTCAAGTTAGTAGTGGGTACCTTTCAACCTCACCTGTTTCTTAGGAAGTATTTTTAATTGGATCAAGAGCAAAGTGAGAACAATTCCCCTATGAGATGTGCACGGCTGCCTCCATTGCCCTGATTTTCCCCTAAAGTATACCTGGACACTCTCCGTTCCTAATCCCCTGCATGTGCTTCAGAGCAAGACTGCAGTTTTTAATTTACAAACAATAGCTTACAAGGATGGAAGGTTTCAAGTGTGGTATCGTAGTAGGTACCAAGCTGAAAGTTATTTCTAACTAAATACAATCTTTTTATTCTTTTAATTAAATTATGTTGCGACATCTTTACCCTTTTGCTTTAAACGTGCAGGTATCTCATTAGTTGCATTTCCTCCCTGCTCTCAACATGTGCAATTCTATGCTACTTCCCACAGTTACTTAGAGTAGGCAAAATCACTTTTATTAATAAGCCCCCCAATTAGAGGAGAATTAGGCAAATGAAAACAAAGTAATATCCATAAGTATAGCTAATACCAATTCAATTTTTTTTATGTAAGATAGGTTTGATTTTAAAATCTTCAGATGCTTCTAGAAGCATACTGTGATGTTTGAAGATGGTATCAAAATAGTGAAATATGTTTTTATATTTGTCAACGGTAGCATTGGACTTGAAATTCAGAAATTATCTAAATAACCTTCATAATATTTTCAAAAAAAAATGAGAGAGAGTTCTTCAATTATCTGTTTCAGGCGAAGTGTCTAATGTGGAAGGAAATAGCACTGCAATTCCTTGTGAATACAACAATAACACTACAAACACCAAAGGTTTCAGTGTTGTCTGGACATTAAACAGAAATGCACTGATCTCAACCCTGGCCTCCTTCAACGGTACATTTCACTCCTACCAGCCTCAAGTCCAGATTAACCAAAGTGACTTTTCACTGATGTTGCATAATCTTACTGCAGACTACAGTGGAGAATATCTGTGTAATGTTTCAACACCTCACTACACAAAACTTACTGTGAGAACTTTGCAAGTTGGTAAGTTGACGCTCTTTCCTTTTCAGAGGATGGGAACTAGTGAGGGCAATGCAGAGCCAAAGGGTCGATGAAAAATCTGTAAAATATTGAGAAAAAATCCTCTTGTGTAATTAGTACAGGTGGGTAGAAGTATTTTATTATTGTTGTCCTGGGAAAAAAAGGTTACCTAAGATGTATTTATTTAAAGACTTTAAGTTTCTTTTTTTCAGTCAGCAACTTGTTGTGGCAAAGGTCTCGAATCGATGGCTGCCCTTAGTTGCCATCGATCACAGAATCACAGAATGTTAGGGATTGGAAGGGACCTCAAAGGATCATCTAGTCCAATCCCCCTGCCGGAGCAGGAACTTCCCTCAGAGCTGAGGGCACAGTAGAACTCTAACATTCATGTCCTAAATGCTCTGCTGATAGCAAATATGGTCTTTAAAGGTAGAAGGGACATGAAGGGAAGCCCAAGGATGTGGTATAAATTTGCCTGCAGAAGAAACCTTGTTGAGAAGAACACAGAGTTGTTATTTTCAAACCTTTAATTCTACACAGCAGGCCTAGGGATATATGTGTTTACAGGCATGCCTGCATTTTTATGAACTGTAGTAAATTTCCAACTGTGAAGTCTTAGTTACAGTTATTTCATTGTCTCCAGTTTCAAGGAGACTTACTGATCAACTTTTCTATCTATTGAAAACTCTTACCAAAGGTTAAAAAAAAGTTTACTCCAGCTTTCTGAAATTATAATGCAAACAAATTGCAGATTTGTTCAAAACGTAGTATTCTTTTTGGGATGCAGCCTCCTTAAATCTCAGTCCAAAGGGAGGAGAAAAAAACTCATTCAAACAGTAGCACGTAGGCATTTTACGCAATTGAATACAGGCACCTAAAAGACTGAGAACTAATACAGGGCATCCTCATTAGTTTTTTTAAGAAAGAAGATCACTTGAAACAAGCTAGTAGGGCATGAAAAACAGGCAACATCACAGAAAAGGGGCTAGAATAAGTGATAATAACTGCATATTTTTGTCTTCTTTCCCACCACCCCTCCTCATGAGCTTAGTTTCAGTCTGAAAACTTGATGTAGGGTGTGTTTTAAACAGCAGTGGCTATATGCAACCTGAAGGAGGGGAGTTAGATTAAAGAAAACTGTTAAGTCAGATAAACACACTTCCTTGCAGCTCAAATTCCAGCATTATCTTCCTTATCCTAATAGGAATAATTAAAAAACCTAATATTGTGCTTCTGAAACAGAGAGCATTGAAGACCTCCAAGGAGTTACACACTTAACTGATGCTCCTAACTTATGTGCACAACTCCATCAGTCTCCCTCTATGTTTACTGGAGACAAACACATACACCTGTCCAGTCCAAATATGATCTGGATCATCCTCTATGAATGCCTTTATCTAAATACTCTCTGTAGATGGATCTTACAATAGCCATAGGTGATACAAATGGGTGATACAAAGGCTCCGGGGTGATCTTACAGCAGTCTTCCAGTACCTGAAGGGGGCCTACAAGAAAAGCTGGAGAGGGACTTTTTACAAGGGCGTGTAGTGATAGGACAAGGGGCAATGGATTTAAACTGAAAGAGGGGAGATTTAGATTAGATATAAGGAAGAATTTTTTTTACATTGAGGGTGGTGAGGCACTGGAACAGGTTGCCCAGAGAAGTTGTGGATGCCCCATCCCTGGAAGTGTTCAGGGCCAGGTTGAATGAGGCTTTGGGCAACCTGATATAGTGGAGAGTTTCCCTGCCCATGGCAGGGGGGTTGTAACTAGATGATCTTTGGGGTCCCTTCCAACTCAAACCATTCTATGATTCTATGATTCTATGAAATCCCCTCTGTAGTGGCTAAATTACTGTGCTGCTCTCAGAATTTTCCTACTCATGGACCAGAAATACATTATATAGAACAGAGAAGACACTTACCAGAGAGACTAACATCTTTGTGGCAACACAGGCTGAAAGCAGATAAGCAGACGAAGACAGTAGGGTGGGAAAGAGCTATATCAGTATGTTGGATACTGGTCATGGCACAGCAGCTGCCCAACCATCAGAAAGATTTCCAAGTACCATTGAAAAGGAGATTTTTAAGGGGAAAAGTGAAAAGAATTTACAATTGTTTTGGAGACCTTTCCTGTGTACAGAAAGGTCACAGCTTAAAGCTCCTTTACCAAAGGAACTGAGAAGACGTGAACATAGATCTGCATGTGGGGACAGAGCCAAGCTAAAGGCACTGACTGGGTTAAATGCTCTGTTTTGGCAGTTCTCATTTTTGAGCTGTTTGCTAGACATCCACAGGCAGTTTCCAGAGGAGTGTAGAATTTTCCGAATTCGTAGATGAGACACAGCAGTGGAAAGGGAGCCTGAAGTAGAAGAAGTGTACTTAAAGGAAAGAGTCCTCTGGGTCTGAGTGTTCTCACATTGTTGAAATTGAATGGCGTAATGAGACGTGTGGTGCCACACATGACCAGCCTCTGCTAGACAGGTTTTTACTTCTGTGGAATCGGTTGTTACCACCCACCTGAGGATCTGCTGCTTCTTGTGCCCACCTGAATTGCATGGTTACATCATCAAGTTGGGAAACGTTTTAGATGAAAGTTGCAAAGATTTCATAACAGAAATCGTGAAATCTATGGTCCAGGATGGATAACGCTTGTTATCCAGTTGTTCTACTGGAAATCATCGGTACCATTAATGGCACTGAGCACTGTGCCTGGAGGCAGTGTTTACCACACTGGGCAGTTGATTGTCTTTAAATGGGACTTGTATTAAGAAGTCATTAAATCCTATTGCATGAGCACACATGGAATTTCGTATCAGCACAGTTAAGTAAAATAATCTGCTTTCAGCAATTCACACTTAAGTCGTTAAAGTATGATTTTAAAGTCTTATAGTGTGGGTCAAGTAACTTGAACATTGTTATATTAGTAACATTAAAAAGAAACTGAGACATTCTCCCTAAATCATAGCTTTTAGATTATAAATAAGAGAAAAATCCTAGCTTTGATAGACATAATTAAAATAGTGAACGTTAATTTGCGATATAAAGCACTTCTGTTAAACTTTGGGGAATTTGTATTTTTAACGAAAATTCAGGTAACACCTCGAAGATTGCGGTAGGAGTGATTGCTGCACTGGTAGCAGGAGTAGTGATCATTGCAGTGGTAGCAGGAGTGTGTGTCTATGCCTTGTCCAAGGTATGTACAATCATTAGGAGATTTATTTTTAAACATGATATTAAGCTTAAATCCAGACCTTGAATGTTGGACCAAACATGGGTTAAAGCATGGGTTAAAGCATACAAAAAAGACTGAAATGTAGGATGAGAAGTCTCAGCATAAATAAAATGTCCTCACATTTTTACTATTTTCTATATGCAAAAGGTCCTCTTTGGTACATCCATGCAGTATTATTTTGGTTGTGACAATGTTAACATGACCTTCCCTTGACCAGATGCTCTCCTGTGCTCTGTAAAAAGATGAAAAAGCTGGTTACCCTTCACAAATACTTTCTTTAAAAAACAATCAAGCTGGTGAATTTTCTCTCACTTGTGTTTAAGACCAAAAAAAAACCCCAAACCAAACCATGAAGTCCCTCAAACAATGCACATACCTAGTCTTCATTAGGGCTTAAATTACTATTTCAATTATATCCAAGGTCAAAGCTCACCAAAACTTCACTGTGAAAAGTTATACTACTTGCTTTGTTTAGGAGACCGTTACAACCACATGGTCCCTGATCTCATCTCTCTACACATCTCTCCTATTTACTACAGTACAGCATCTTCTAGTGAATGCTTTTTATTCTTGTGCGTTTGTAATAGGCTGGCTCTGTCTTACAGTATTCTGTCTCCTTCCTCTGCATTTGTGGCGAGTATCCTTAAAAAATGAGCTTTAGCTCTTAGTCCTTAGAGTACATCTTTCTGCGTATGACAGTACAGCCCTATCCTTGGAGAGATTGGAGAGATATACCTTCATATTCCCTGGGCCTTAAGATTTTGTCACAGCCTGAATTTGGTAAGCTTCAGGAGACGTTTGGCAATGTCTCGACATGAACGCACCAGATTGAGTCTCAGTCTTTTTTCATTTTTCTCTGACTTGGAGATCCACTTGCATGCTTCTTATTAGTCAATTTTAAGGCTAACATGCTTTAGAGATGAGAACATAGTTTTGAGATGCAGCTCTTTAAAGAATTTAAGCAAGATTCACTTATCTTGGGACCCGTTGAGACCTTTAACAGATCATAATCAGAAGAAGCGGAATAGTTTAAAGGTTAACTCAGCTCTGGTTACACTGAGGGAGAACTAGATGGAAGAAACAAGAATGTTTCTGCACTGTTATGTGGATGTTTATTTTATTCAGCTAATGTTAAAATGGAAAATACTGACTTATCTTTATAGTGAGTGTATCTTGTTCTGTTCCTACTAGAGGATTAATTTTACACATCAGTAGTTCTGACAAACATTTTTGTTTTGACTAGAAATGCAGCAAAGGAGGAGTGATATGACTACCACCTCGGAATACTAGAAGAAAATCCCTCTCTGGACACACAGATGCTGCTGAGATTGCTGCTGAAAATAACAAAGATTTCCTTCTTTCCCTGTTGAATTACACTAAGAGCCACATGGGAATGTGAATATCCGAGCAACACGAACAAAACAACTGATCTGGTAGAAAAAAGAATAAATAGGTATAGCATTTGACACTTGTATGTGAGGAGTTGGCATGAAAAATTGGAGCTTGGATATCCTGAAGGGACAATGAAAATGTTTCCACAGAGAAAGATTCAGTTTTGAGGGATTTTTTTTTTCCCAGTATGAGGGAAAAAGAGGGCTTACTATTTTGCACTTCATTCAGTATTTTAATTTCAAGCAAAGGCAGCTTCCCTGTTTAAAAGTGGAAAAGATTTAAGAGAATACCCTATTTCTGAGCCACAGGCAGTCCTGATGGGACATGTCCCTCCACAATATCTCCTATGCCTCTGCTGCAGCTGGCAAACAAAAATCCTTTGGCTGGTAGTAGCGGAAGCTTCTAATCTGACTGTTCATATGAAAAAGTTCACTTTCTGCTCTCCTGCAAAACTCCTACAGACTCTGACTAGCAGGACAGGTGGAAGCTGAGGTACCCTACCTTTAAGGGCTGTTCCCCAGCACAGGTTTAATCTGTGCTGCTTTAACAATCTGCATGTGAAATACATGAGGCTGTGAAGCATGACTGGATTTGCCTGTGGTTTTGATTTTGTCAGAGATCTGCCAATTAGAATTTGGTCCAGCACAATGAAGTGGGCTGTTGGCAAGATGTAATCTTTTATTGATCCCTGGGGCTCAGCAAAATAGAAACACAAAGAAATAAATGGAATGCACTATATAGTCTCTTTGGATTTTCACTTGATGTTTATTTCTGTAAGTGCTCATTTTTTTCTACATCTGCTGTCAGTTGTGCCTGATTATATCAAGCATCTTCTCATATCTGTCAGCTTGGACTGTATTTACTCCTCTTCGTGAACCTGAAATGCAATTGATACAACTGTTAAAAATTGAAGTGTTGAAGGGGTTTTGGAGTAAGTTCACAAGTAAATGACAAAAGCTTCTCCACTAATGCTTCTGCTTCCTGGTATTACCCGTTTGTATCTAGCACTCATCTAGCCAACCTTCAGCATCTTACTGCAGCAAACCTTGTACAGGTTTCTTGTCCTCACGCTAGAGTATATATCCCTTCGACAGCAGATGACTTCCATACAACCCTGTTTCAATAGATGGTGGTGTTCGTTTTGAATCACACACACTTCCCAGAGTTTCCAGGAGCACAGGTGCTAGTAGCAGTAGACAACATGTTTCTAATGCTGCACAATTAAAGCAGTCTCTCCAGTGCCTTTCTCTCCCCAAAGGGGATGTGTCATGACTTTTGGGACAGCACTTGCTACCTGAACATGTTTCCTGGCAGCTGCTGCCATTACTGCCACAAGTCGCTTTTTGTGGAGATGACACCTCTGTCATTGAGCTCATCTTTTGACAGCATGATACCCTGCTATAAGCCAGAGCTGGAATTGGTGCCAGCAAACTAGCATCTGACTAACAGAAATAGGCATCCACTTTTCTGTGACTTTTGCGTATTTGAGGCAGAAAGAGGGTACTAGTACGAAGTGGGGAATAAACAGCACTCTTAATAGAATTAATTACTCCCATGGTTTACCTGTTTCAGTGTCTGTGTGATGCCATGGCTTTGTGAACTTATATATGAGTTTTGGGGTTCTTTTTGTAGGGATGGAATAATTTAAAGAAAAATATTTGGAAATTTTTTACTCTTAAAAGCTGCAAAATTTCTTTTGAGCTTCAGTTACAGTACTGCTTCCATCATATGTAAATGTGAAAGAGACCAGATCTTCATGCAGTTTTAATGTAGCTCTACTCTAGGCCATGGAGCTACAGTCATTTATATCAGTCAAAGGTGACTTTAATAGTCCAATATAAAAGCTGAAATTGGAGTGTTTCCTCACACAGATTGGTGGATACAAAAAAGAGAAGGAAAGTGGGATCAGGTGTGATAAACCCAACAAAATTATACAGAAAAGTGTTTTTTTTTTCCCCTCTTTCTTGACTCAGGAGCTGTCACACCCATAAAACTTATGGGATGTTAAGCATGGCAGTTTATGTTTCTCTTAAAAATGAAATAGATAAAGCAATGACCCAGCTCCTCTTTATATCGTTCCCACAACTAACAGCCCCACTCTTACTTGCCCTGGTTGCCACAAGGCAAGCATAGATAAGCAAAGGTTTGCTTGCAGTTCCAGACCAAGTTTTTAGGCACCTTTTAGTTTCATCAGTATTATTCTACTACCATTCTGCTCCAGTGCAAACCACCACAAATGTATTTCTAATTACTAATTACTTCCCAGCACCCAAGTGACTAATCACTAATATTTTATTTTCTTTCAGCTCTTGAAATCAATACAAGTTCATTGAAAGAGTTAAAATATCTGGCAATCTGCTAGTGCAGTAATCCCCAGGCTGTATTACATACATAGAAATTGACATCGTTGGAGGGAAAAAAAGATGGAGCTTTTTAATATCCCATAAAAAAAAAAAATTAAAAAATCACCAGTTCTGGAAACTTCTGGCTGCTGAGCACAGAGGTTAAATGACAACATCAAGAGGATAGAGAATTCTTTTTGCCTAAGCATCAGATTGCTGTTTTAAAGGCTTACCTTAATGTTAAAATAAAGGGTAGACTAAAACTAAAAAATGTAGTAAAAAAGAATTTATTCTAGTCCATGCTACTTCAGGAGATGTAACAGATCTTCCTGCATACGTAGCATCCACTACTGTGTATTAAACAGTCACTTTTACCCCATACAGTGTAACCATACCTTTTTCATGCCAATATCTCTTGACTTGCTCCTCAGCTTATTAACTTGAGATTCAGCTATTTCAGCCCGTTCTTCAGCATCGTCCAGATCGTGTTGCTGTTTTCTGTACTTCGAGAGGTACAGATTGGCTTGAGCTTCCTGGTGAGAGAAAACAGTGCAGCTGATTTCCTCCTGTCTGCGTGAAACGAAGCTTTCCATTTCAAGTGGGACGGAAAGTGCTCAGCATGACTACATAACAGCTGTATGGGAACCATTTGCTTCCTGAAGAAGTGAAATTGTTGTTTCACAGAGTTGATGTTTCTAGTGGCGCTCTCCATGTTAAGTGAAATGAGAAGTTCTCAGCATGCCTCCTGAGGAACTAGGAGGAAAAACGTCTTTCCTGTTCCTTCCCTTTCCCCCTTTCCTTGCAAATTATACTTCAATCTGAGAGTAAAATTGAATACCTTTTCTTAACTCTGATCAATACATACACTACATATTTTTTATATATTATAAATATATTTATACATACAAGATTTATATCAATATAAATATTAATGCACACACAAAATGTGTATTTGTATTAAAAGCTTCTATGGATTAAATATTGTGGCTTTAGGACAATAAATTTCTCAAAGGAAAAAGGGCCCAAATAGTTACTTACAGCTTCCTCTGCTTGGTGCTTGTAGCTCTTCACTTTTAATTGTAGCTTGTCAATCAGATCTTGCATCCTAGCCAGATTCTTCTTATCTTCTTCTGACTGTATCAAAACACCATTAGTTGGCAGTGTAAAAAGGCCTAAAGCATCTCCCACAATGAAATAGGTTTGGCTGCCATGTATGTAATTTTAGAAACATATAGTTCAAAATACAGACAAGCCATATTGGGATCACCCTGTGTATAGATGAGAAACATCTTCAAGCAACCTATAGAAATTTATGTAAGCCTAGAGGCTGAGGACTAAAAGAGAGTACCCTCCTCATTTGCCTGTATGTAAACATAGATATATATATAAACATATATATCTATGTGCACACACTTTCAGAGATATACGCATACATACATACACACGGAGTTCCTCACTCAGGGGCGAGGAGCACTCTTGTCATTATATGGGAGGGCCTGAAAATGTGCAATTTGCATATTTTAAAGTCTGGTTTGGAGGCATCTCTGGTAAAAGGAGCCAAGTTTAAGCTGTCACAGTCCATAAGCAGAAGGACCAGCTAATTCTGCCTGCACACTGTATTCTAAGAAAACAACCTTCAGCCTCTGCATACAAAAGTCAGAGTAAAACAACAGGTAGGGGGCTAAATAAGCTCCTAAAACAGATGGATGGGATTGTCTTCTTAAGAATGCTGTTGAAAGCAAAAGGATCAGTGCTCTGTGCTGAAGATCTTTTTTGAAAGGCAAGCAGCAACAGCAGCTGTTAGCAAACCTGCAGGAGGCTCATGACTAGACCTTGCCATTCAGCAATAGGTGACAGAGTCCTGGGACTGGGCAACCCTACACTGAATGAGGTATTATAGTCAACTGAATGAT